TTTGTCAAATTTATCAAATTCATCAATGGTATGGATTTTACTTCTATTAAGGAATGTTGGGATTTGATAAGAATCTGAAACAACAAGAAAGAAATTATGAATAAACGGTGCATTCAAATAAACACTTCTTATTGAAAACTTTAAAGCATCATAATCCCTAAATCTTTGTGGATCAAAATCTGTTTTATATCTTTGTATTGTTTCTTGCCAATGTGGTTCACTTCCATTAACATATAGCCAAACAACATCAACTCTACCTTGACAGTATTCTGGTAATATATGTCCTTTACTATTTGGTAACATTTTTATTTCTTCTTTCATTGGAATAAAACCATGGACAGGGTTTTCAGTATCAAAGTGAAATGTTGTCTTTTCAAATAATTTTTTCATCAACCTCTGTTGAACATCATCTTCTGGATAACTTCCATTTTCATATGGCTGAACTGTCATTAACAATTTAATCTTTCTTAAAAATAATTCATTAATGTCTTCAAACATCCATCGTGACACAGGATTTGGACGACTTAGATCAGCAATTTCAATTTGTCTTTTCAAAATTGGAGGACTTCCATCTTGATACACAAACTCTGCTAAGTTAAATGGATTCTCATCTTTAAATTTTTTTTCTTCTTCATCTAAAAACCCTAATTTCTCATCAAAGTGTAATACTCTTTTGTTTTTGTGTTTTGTATTTCTATTATGTTTAGGTGAAAACCAAATAGCTGCAATGACGCTCATAACAAAAAGAAACAATAAAACCGCCATTGCAATAATAAATAATTTCATAATAATAGAACTTTTAAAGTCCCTGATCCATTCTTTTCCTAAATTATTTTCCTTCTTATTTTCATTAATAACTTCATCAGTGTCATCTGTTTTATGATTTATTTTGTTATGGACTCCAGAATTCCAGATAAACATTGTTTTTTTTTCAGATTTTTCGCAACTATTTAAGTAATAGAATCGTATTTCTATTCTAATCAAATTGAAAAAAAAAATTGGTCAATTTTTTAATAATCCATAATTAGTTTTTTTTAATATTGATAGTGCAATAAGGAAGTAAGAAGTAAATGGAACTACGATCCCACTGAAACAAAACTATAATTATTTTATTCTGTTCCTATAATTATATTTTAATATATATTTTTATCTTATTTTTTATAATTTTTATTTTTATTAATAGAATACTCTCTTTTTTATATTTGGTTAATTTGTTATTATTTTATTTTGTTATTTGATATTTTGAATATAGTGAGCTATTTCAATTCCAATACATATTATCATAATTTAATTTTATTCATTCTCAACTTTACAACTTTATTTATTAATTCAAAAAAATTCTTGTTCTAAAGAATTGTTAAAGAAAAATATAATTACCATCATTTCATTACAAATAAATTAAATGAATTCTCTTCATTTAAACATTCATTATTGAACTATTTAAATATTTTAATGAAGAATCAAATAATATGTTTATTTAAAGTAAGAAATGAACAAATATATTATGATGAGTGAATTAAATATTGAATAATATGTATTATCATTAATATTTAATATAACACATTGAACATTATTAAGGTAGAAGAAAATAAGATAAATAAAACATTGTGAATGAAAAATAAATAAAGAAATGGATTTATATTTAATGAGTTTAATAAATAAATATTTTAATTCTAAACTATCATTTATTCTTTCATTAATAAAAATGATTTATTAAATATAAAATATAATAACAATAAATTTTATCTTTAAACAAAATATTATCATTTATTATTCACTCAAAGTAATACATTTTTTAAATCACTATTTCTTCAAATTCTTTTAATTTTTCTTCTCTCATTCATTTATCAACCCATAATTACAATCTTCTTACTCTTTTTCATTTTTTCTTATAAAAATTACTTATTAAACAACTTGTTCAATAATAAACAACTTGTTTATATTTGTTGAGATGAATTAATCCTTTCCTATGTTATCATTTCTATTTATATTGAGATGATATGTTTCATTCTTCAAATTAAAAAAAAACAGATAACCAACAATTGATTGATTTGTAAATATTGTGTTGAATGAAAATATCTATTTGTTTTGAATGGTAAATAAATTAATTGGTGACACCCCAATGTATGAATGAGAGTAAACAAAATTCTCAGAAAATGAATCTAGTGTTAGAAAAAAAAAGGAAAGAAATGCAACAAGTTGAAAGAATAATAATTCAATACTATTATAATCAAATGGATTACTAATAATTTGATTAATATATTATGCTCATCAAGAAGAATTTGTAATATTCTCAAGAATAATAAATAAAACATGAAAGAGAAGAGCAAAAAGATTAAAAAAAAATTGAAAATCATTATAAATATAGAAAACAATAAAAGAATAGAAAAGAATAATTAATACTTAGACAAAATTGCAAATAAAAGAACAAAAGAAGAAAATAATGATTAATCAACAATGAGTTAAAAGATGGAAAAATTTTACTGCGTAGAAAGAATAAAAGGAAACTCAAAGAATTAATACTTAGTGATGAATAAGAGAAAAGAAGTATGAGAGATATCTTAACACGAAAGTGTTAAGAAAAATAGAATAAAAAGAAAGAATATAATCATTAAATATTTAGAAATTTGTTGTCTTGATGTTAATATATCGTATTTAATCAAATAGTAATAAATAAAAAGAATCGAATAATATTATTGAAGACGAAGGTTCTTTAAAATTGTTCTGGATAAAAATTGTAGAATTTACCTAACTAAAAAAGTTAAATTTTATTACTATTGTATATATTTGAATTATATTATTTTTTATTTATATTTAAATGGAACAAACCTAACTTTATTTTTATTGTATTGATTATTCTTTTATA